TGTCCAACTGACAAGTCGACCTAGAGTCTTAGTTTCCACATCACCTCAGCAACCTCCATATACTGCATATAGAGGCTCTGCTAGAGTTGCTCTTATTGGGTGATAGATCCGACGCGGCATAAGTCATTGTGAATTTGTGATACCCTATGAGCTGGGTACCCGGTATGGCCGGCGCTGGCTAGGTCCTACTGTCAGTCCCAGTTATCTTGCCTGGCTAGCAAGAGTTAGGCAGTTATTACTACACCAAACCGTGTGTTTCTTGCACTTAATGTGTGTTCTAGTGCAATGTATGTCCAACTATACTTGGTATAGACCATGCGTCGCCGTGAAATTAATGACGACCGTAGTGTACACGGATCAGGGGACGACGGGGGAAATAAATCTGCGGCTATGTGAACCTGTCTACGTCTGGACAAATACAATGCATGCATCGCCGTGAAAGGGATCACGCGAGTGGCACCTGACACCAACTAAAGGCACGGCCCGTGCTCCATGCATGAGAGAAAGGGGAGGAGAAAGAGATAGAGGTGGTGCTTCTACGTGTTTCTAGTAATCTTCTACGGCCAATGCTCCAGGCTGGTATGTAAACAAAGCAGGTGAAAATGCCAGGGATTCAAGGAGATGATAATCTTGTTTGGACCAGGGTTGTGGTTGGAAAGGTGATGGGTGTGCAGCTACCGGCCGCCTACTGGCCCGTGCCTTCGTGGGGGTAATGCCCAATGGGTAGGTGTGGTGCCCGCGTAGGCCATGACATATCAGCGCGCGTGCGGCGCGAGGACGACCGGGAAGCAACGCCGGCCATCATCACTCATCAGTGTGCCGACCAACAAGCGGCGCCGTGTGGAGCAGCCGCGAACGAACGAACGCGGTAGCTGTCGCGTTGAAGGAGCAAAAACAAATCGCAAGTCTCCCACGCCCCAGCACGTGGGCGGGCTGTCCATTATTTTATGCATGGGACTCTCTATAAGTATGAAATCACCGACGACCCGGAAGGCCATCAAGCAGCAGCAGCAACAGGATCGGAGCTCCTCAGCTGCGCTAGCTAGTTGCCGTCCGAATACGTCTGTGGACTCTTGTCCTCGGCTCCTCAAAGCTACAGTGCGAGCATGGGTGGCGAGGACGCGCCGGGTCGGCTGGAGAGCATCCTGACGGACACGTCGGCGCCGCTGGCAGAGCGCGCGTGGGCGGCGGGGGCCGTCGAGCTCCGGATGCTGGCGCGCCTGGCGGCACCGGCGGTGGTGGTGTACATGATCAACTATGTCATGTCCATGTCCACGCAGATCTTCTCCGGCCACCTGGGCAACCTGGAGCTCGCCGCGGCCTCGCTCGGCAACACCGGCGTCCAGACCTTCGCCTACGGCCTCATGGTACGTGCGGACTCTAAATCATTCGCGTGTGAATCTGTCCTGGTGACCTTCCCCGCGTTTGTGTTTCTCTGCCTGCTTGGTATACTTCGGTTCCAGCACACGCTCCATGCCTCCATCTCGCATAACCCACGGCTTACACGAAGCGTGAACAATGTCTCTTAGATTATGACGTGTGCAAGGGTGGATTAGTGGGCGTATCGTATGGAGTGTCGTCCGGCTACACGTAATGCTTCACTTTTCTTTATTGCCAAGAGTCAAGCTTGTGCGTCATGGTTAAATTTGTTTATGGACATGAGAGCTTGATGGATTGCAAACCAGCAAACAAGGACATGGAGATGTGTTGCAGAGTTGAGGAGTTCTCGATTCAGCTGCAGCCCGCAGCCGGCAGAGGTCATGAGCAGGGGCCAGACCATCAGGAAGGCGCGAAGGGCAGGAGTGGCAGGCTCGAGCGGGGAGGCAGACGGCGACGAGTGGTGGAGCCGAGTCTGGGCGCAGCGCCGCCGCCGCCGCACACACAGGAGGAGCGGGGATCGTAATTTATTTAGGGTTCAGGCTTGGTTCGATAGGAAAATTGTGGGGAGGCCCCAGAAGTTGGATTGGGCCAAAAAAAGTTTAAACTGTGCTGAAAATTTTGGTCGACTAATACAATTACCGGGCCTAGGCGAGATGGACGAAATTCGGCCGAAATTTAATTTTTTTTGGCCGAAAATGAAGACACGACCCTCACTGCCACCGGCCATTTTTATCCGGTGATGACAAGGAGAACATGGTGGAAGTAGAGAAAACGCCTAGGGGAGGGGGCGGTAGAGCACCCGAGCTATCCCTAGGAGCAACTTGAGTACATTTTAACCTCTTGGAGAGTGCACAAGTATGATCGTCATGCACTGAAAGCCACCAACTATAATATCCATTCAGCTATAATTTAAACACCTCGAGATTACAACCATCATTAGTTGTTCATCTTAAAATCAATGCTAGGCTGCATGCATCACTCTGATGCAATGCAGAGGCCGGAGGCTATCCTCCTTTTCAAAAATAATAATAATCATAAATCAATGTAGACCTATTTGAAAAAAAAGAATAACCCGGAGAGAAGAAAATATTTGTTTTGTTGACATGAGGTGGAAGAGAACATGGTAGATAATAATGGAAAGAGTAGGACATCCAGAAATGACATCTAATATATGTTGGTTCCTGTCTATGGAACTCATCATGCACAACACAAACAAATGCAACAAACAACAAGACATCTATGGATGAGCTAAATTAAGCATGTAATATCATGATGATCCGAGCAATAGCATGATGAATCATTGATTTTTTTTAGAGAGAGAACGGACCATTGAAATTTCCTAAATGCTTAATAGTGCAGCTGCACTATTAAACATTTCTGAGCGCTCGCTCTTCCACCTGTTCGATTAAAAGGTGACCATATGATGGAGACATAGGAAACATCATTTTTTTTGTCAGGACGCGGCCCGCGCAGAGAGGATAGAGGAATACTAACACATGTGGACGCAAGTATTAACTGCATGCATGTACTGATGTCATTTCATTTTATTCCGTTCATTTCTTTTTCTAAAAGCTACAACTTTCGAACCGATTGTCAGGACGAAGATCCGTTTTCATCGTTAGGTTTCTCGTGAGGAGCTCTTCAAAACTAGATCCTATAGTGCTATGTTTTGATGATTTAAAAAAAAGCAACTTTGATGCTAGATGAGGCAACTTTAGTTCTAATCAGAAGCAACTTTCTTATACCATGTGTATAGTGAATTTACCTAGTAAGTATGTTGTATACAACTTAGAAACCATGGTAGACAACTTTTTATCATATATAGGCAACTAGGTATCATTGGTAGGCAACTTTAGAATTACATGGAGGCAACTTTTAGCACTAAAGGAGGCAACTCGCTTATCAAGGTATATACAACATATATTATCCATTCCATACATGGCCCTATAATCATGTATCCATGTTTTGTAAATGCATGGTAATATTTTCTCCTAAGTTGTTTACCGTGGTTATGATGTTGTTGATATATGTGGACTAAATTTGATTAGTGTTAGAAAAATAAATAAGATAAGCAACTTCACTCCATTTAAAAGCAACTAGTAAACAATTATAGGCAACTAATTAGCAACAGTGAATAACTTTGAAACATAGGTAGGTAACATCACATCGATTTTCATAACCAATGTTCCTTCTACAAGTGGCAACTTTAGTACTACAAGTGGTAACACTCTTCTAACTTTCTCACTTCTACTTATAAGTTTCCTATTGTTGACGCTCTTATGTCATTACTTATAATTTTCCTATAATACTTTGAAGTCGTTTACCATTGTTGTTGAGGTGTTGTCATTGCTAGTTAGTTGCTTACCAGGTGTACTATGGTCATACAGTTACATGTCATTGTTAATTAGTTGCCTACAATACCCGAATAGTTGTTCATCATTGTTTCTTAAGTTGTCTATCTCCGAAGCACAATGTTAAGATACTCACTGGTTATAGTAGGGAACTTAGATGTGAAACTAGTCAACTTGGCTGTCATGGTAGCCAACTTAGAAGGTTTTTTTGTTGATAGACAGTCATACTGACAAACAAATAAGAAGTTGCTTTCCTAGAGTACTAAAGTTGCCTCTATAGCATCCAAAGTTGCTCGAGAGAAAAAAATCATCCAAACCCATCCATACGAGATCTAGTTTTGAAGAGCTTGTCAAAAGAAACCCAACGATGAAAACGGATCTGAATATTGATACTCAAATAAAAAATTACGACTTTTTAATTCTTTTGAAACCCCCTAATAAATGCACATGGGACAAGATCTTATCCTTTCCGGCTAGAATCTGCAAGGTAAGTAAGCAAAGGGGGACGGACATCATGTGCTTCTCTAACTAAAAGTAGGACTTTCCTTTTCTGGTAGGTGTGCTCGCAGCCTCCGACGAGCGCAGGGGCGCTGTCTAGCCAGGTCCTTGAAATTCATATGCAATAACTAATAGCACGATGAGCTGGGCACTCGAGCACCTCCTTACCAAAAGATGATTCTAGTTATATAGAAAGTTAAGATAAGATCGATCCTACCGCTTAATCAGTGTTTCTGATGCAACGTATGTCCAGCCATAATTTTGCTATGGAAACAACGTTTCTGAATGCAACATCATGCTGGCTAAAATGATGGCCATGCTCCCATGTGTATGGCATCATCGCCCGCACATGGTGTCCATACCTACCTACTCACCCACGGATCGGGTGATGAAGGAGAGCCACCGGACAGGTCGCGCCGGTGGCAGCCCAGCTACTATTGTCAGATAGTGGCCCGGCGACAGCAGGCTCGTGAACCTCGTGGGTGCGCGTGGACGGCGACTTGGAAAGCAGTCCGGCCGTGGTCTGGCCAGACAGCCAGTCTCACCGTCGGCACTGCCGTCGGCGGGAATCCAGGCCTGTTATTGACGGTGCCGTCAGTGGGAGTGAGTGATCAGAAACCAATCTGGAAAGAGCCAAGCCAATCCACTATTTAGCCGGCCGGAGCGTCAACGCCAAGAGGGCACACACACACATGTACTGTACGAGCTAGCTATAGACCATAGCTCCGTAGCCTCTCTCGTCCTAACTAGCTGCCAAACCTCACGAGCGTCATGGCTCGCGGGGACGAGCATGAGCATGAGCATGAGCATGGCGCGTCGTGTCTGCTGGAGAGCATCCTGACGGACACGTCGGCGCCGCTGGCGAGGCGCGCGTGGTTGGCGGGGGCGGTCGAGCTCCGGCTGCTGGCGCGGCTGGCGGCGCCGGCGGTGGTGGTGTACATGATCAACTTCGTCATGTCCATGTCGACGCAGATCCTGTGCGGCCACTTGGGGACCCTGGAGCTCGCCGCCGCCTCGCTCGGCAACTGCGGCGTCCAGACCTTCGCCTTCGGCCTCATGGTAGGCAGTCGCACACACTACGTTTGTCCAGCCGACAATGGAGTAGGCCTCATGGTACCTTCACCCCTCCCATGTCGAGGTCGGAGCAATGCTTCGTGTAGATCGAAATGTTTGTTCACCCGACGAGTAGCGTTTGTGTTTCTCTTCCCGGCCGGCGTACTTGGATGCCATGCTCATTGAGAGCTGAGAGCACATGCTTGGGCACATTACTTCTCCCTTTGTTAAAAACACTCTTATATTATGAAACGGAGGGAGTAGATTCTAATAATCCTGTAGCTGGGTAGATAGGATTAGGCCAAGTGCTGTTTCCTGTTACAGTAAGTACTAGATTAGACTATTGCAACCCTGGAGTGGATTAGCCTATGACGTCGTGTGCTTATTAGAAGAGGTGGATTGGATTAGTGGGTGTACTACTAGTACTACTAGATTGGATTAGTTGGAGAGCATCACTAGTTACTAGATGCATGGAGTGGCCTTGGCATGGCACATGGCAGGCCCATTTGGCACAAGCCAGTCATTCAAACCCACTTGGTACCACCTCCGTGGCCCCGTCCTCCCCTGCCTCTTCACTTTCTTGCTGGGCCGTCTCTGCACCGTCCACGTAGGCGTGAATATGGTCTTCTACTCGCTCCGTTCCAAAATAAATAACTCAACTTTATACTAAAATTAGTACAAAATTAAGTCACTTATTTTTAAAAGGAGGGAGTAGGAGCCCTAGCGGGTCCGTGGAAGGTGGTTGGTAAGAGTCAAGGAGAGAGGTAATGTCGGGATATGCACAGTGACAGCATTAAATAAATGCAGGTGTTTCTGGGTCCCACCTGCCTAACAGTCGCTTGATAGCAGGCTTGTCTTCAGTTTAACTTAATCAGTTTCTGGCAAAAGACGTGGCCTGTCCCATCAGTTTTGGATTCTTCTTCTTCTCTCTCACCTACCAGCAAAGAAAATAAAAGAAAATTCTGTACTGTTGTGGCATTTATATATTCTCCTTTCTCGATCAATGGATAGCATACACGGCTAGGGAGGTGATGGCCACAGCCCACCCACTGCTTAGACGGAGCGTGACACCCATATTTCCTACGTACAACCACTGGTAGATTAGACTAGATTGCGCGGGACAGGTCTATGGTTGGCAACGCCTATTTGGCATGCACAACTAGGGCCAGTCATACATACTCCCTCCGACAAAGGCAAACAAAAAAAAAAATACTCCCACCGTATCATAATTTATTTGTTTTAGCAGTTTAATTTAAGCTGCTAAAATGACATATATTATGGTATAGATGAAGTACATGGTGTGTTCTTCATGCATGGTCGAAAGCGAGATGCCACCTCCCACTCCGAAAGAACCTTTCTGCACCCACGAGCAAATGCTCCTGGTGTGAACAGTAAAACAAAAAAAATGAAAAAATTCTGAAATTTTTTAGTGACATACTTTCACAAATATTTGTTGTGCATGCAAAATTTCATCACGAAATCATATTGGTAGAAGTCGTGCCAAAAAAACAAAATCAAAGCTCCAAAATGCTTTTGTAAGTAGTAACATTTTCAGAGCATCAATTTTGTTTTTTTTACCACGCCTTCTACCAATGTGATTTTGCGATGAAATTTTGCATGCACAACAAACACTTGCGAAAGTATGCCACAAAAAAAATTCAAAATTTTTTGTATTGTTTTTGAATATTTTTGATGTTACTGTTCACAGCAGGCGCATTTGCTCCTGGTCCCTCCAACTCTCTCTTCTTTCATCTAGATCCATACACGTGATCTTCTTTCCTGGCTTCTTTCCTTGTCAATCACATGCCACATGGTGCTTAGTTTGTACACTTCCCTCTAGACCTGCCCACAAGATTTAGATCTTCCCCTCTCTCTTCCCATCCATTGTGGTCTCTACCCTTTCAGGCGTCTTCAAGTGCTTGGACCGTTCCAATTATCGACTATATGGTCCTAAAAAAGATAACGTTGTGCCCACATCAATAAGTGCAGTGTGTCTCCTTAAGTCAAGGCAGTACATACTACACTATTCTCTCTGTTTTTATTTACTCCACATATTAGGTTTATATAAAGTCAAACATTATATGCTTTCAACGAGTTTGTACAAAAACATATTAACATACACACCACCAAATATGTATCATTGGATTCATCATTGCATATATTTTTACATCATATAAATTTGTTACTGTGAATGTTCATATTGTTTTTTATAAATTTGGTCAAACTTTATAAAATTTGACTTCAGCCTAACCTAATATGCAGAGTAAATAAAAATGGAGTGAGTATTTTTAACATGTCATCACGGCTTACAGATTTTGATAATTAAGGTAACTTCCACCGAAACAAATTACCAATTTCTGTGCAGAACACACCAGAGGTGATTATGTCATTATTTTTCTTCATGACGGTGTACTGCCAATTTCTAAGCGGGGCGTGGCCAAATGACGTGACCTGCCCCACCAGTCTTGGATTGGACTGTTGTCGTCGCGTTTATATATTCTCCTCTCTCAATCAACCAATCAATCAATCGATAGCGTCCGACAAGAGCTAAGCTCATTTGTTTATGGGCCAGAGGTTGATGGATTGGTATTGCTCGTCGGCACCTATACCTCGCCCTACTTAAGAAAAGTCCCATGTCATATCGAATGTTTGCGCTCTAATCTTAACTCTAAATGCTGTTTCGACCCCACTTGGTAATCGTGGTGGTGTAGCTGTCTGCTCTCCAAGGACGCTGCACATAAATGAAAATCCGGACTCAGCGACTAGATGCACCTACCCAGTAATGATGCAAGACACGTATTATATTCGGAGTCCTTGGATTCTCAATGTGCTTCTTGAGATTAATAAGGTGCCTTAACTGTTATTTTTAGTTGGTCAACAGTTTATCTTCTCTGTTTAATTTCCAAAAAAAAAAGAAAATCTAGCAAACAACAAACCAATTGAACCGCTTTCCTTGTTTATTGAAAACATAAGTAGATGTTGTTTCTAAGAAACATGCATAACCGTTTTGTAAGTAATTAGGATGTAAGAAGAAAAAAAATAGATGACAATGGAGGGAGCAGTATGAAACTCATGATGATGAATTTGATCAAGAGAAATGAAGCTCCATGAAATTAACACCAACTGAACATGAAAGAGGAACAAAATTAAGGCTGTAGTGCTACAACATAGTGCACTTTGCTAGATCATTGTGAGAAATAATACTAGTTGCTACCAGTTTTGCCTTTCCTCATTGTGTTTTCCATGGACTCCTAATTTTAACCAAGATCTAAGCTATAAGTTAGCTAGAATGCAATCTGTGACAGCCCTAACAATTAAGACATTACGTTTTTGTTTTTGCAGCTGGGCATGGGAAGTGCAGTGGAGACCCTCTGCGGGCAGGCCTACGGTGCCCACAAGTACGACATGCTCGGAATCTACCTACAGCGCTCCGTCATTCTCTTGGGCTTAACCGGCATACCACTTGCTGTGATGTACGCTTTCTCGGAGCCACTCCTCTTGTTGATGGGACAGTCACCCGAGATAGCCCGTGCCGCATCGATCTTCGTGTACGGCCTGATTCCTCAGATCTTCGCGTACGCCGTCAACTTCCCCATTCAGAAATTTCTGCAGGCCCAGAGCATCGTCCTGCCGAGTGCTTACATCTCGACGGCAACACTCATTCTACATGTGATGCTGAGCTGGGTGCTAATGTACAAGGTCGGCCTTGGGCTGCTCGGTGCCTCGCTGGTGCTGAGTGTGAGCTGGTGGATTATCGTCGGAGCGCAATTTGTGTACATTGTCGTGAGCCCGACATGCCGACACACATGGACGGGATTCAGTTGGCAGGCCTTCTCCGGTTTGCCGAGCTTCTTCAAACTCTCCGCCGCATCTGCTGTGATGTTGTGCCTTGAAACATGGTACTTTCAGGTGCTTGTGATCATTGCTGGATTGCTCCCCAACCCTGAGATTGCCCTGGATTCCCTCTCTGTATGGTGAGTATCATTGGACTTTGAGTCTTGCTATTATTCCTAGTAATAAGTCTGCAAAGTTGGTGCTAATTAACTTGTGATGCATGTGTGGGCGCTAATTAACTTTGTGATGCATGTGTGCAGTATGACGATTTATGGTTGGGTGTTCATGATCTCCGTTGGGTTCAATGCTGCTGCAAGGTTCGCAAGTCTATACTCAAAGGCATTGATAAACATTAGCATTGGTTACTGACAACTACTCCCTCCGTCCCATAATATAAGAACATTTTTGACACTAGCGTAGTGTTAAAAACGTTCTTATATTTTGGGACAGAGGGAGTAGTTAAGTACTCTAACTAACTAATTGATACGTTTTCACTTCAGTGTAAGAGTGAGCAATGAGCTTGGCGCCGGCAACCCCAAGTCTGCATTTTTCTCTGTGTGGGTCGTGACCGGGCTCTCTGCAACAATCTCAACCATCCTTGCTGTTGTGATCCTCTGCCTCCGCAACCACATCAGCTACTTGTTCACAGATGGTGAAGCAGTTTCGGACGCGGTAGCAGATCTCTGCCCATTGCTCGCCATCACACTCGTTCTCGGTGGCATCCAACCTGTACTGACAGGTACTTTTAGAAACTTTCTTCTTGACGGAATGTGCTATCTTCATTCTTGTAAGGTCCATTAGTACAACTTTCCAGAGAATGTTCATGGCAGGTGCATTATTCAAGCAGCAGGAGCTTATATCCTTGGCCCATCTATGTTTTGTTTAACGTTACAATTCCTATGATTTAGTTTCTTTATTCAATCTATATTTTTTAATCATAGTTACTGAATTCTAACGTACCAGTGGTAAGAGATGACCCACACCTCTATCTTAAATGACTGTAGACTCTTTCGTATATGCATCAGTATGATTCTGCGTCAATTTTTATTGGATATTTGTGGGGCAACTGCGTAATATGTATTAAAAATAGCTCTAACTTGTTTAAAGCGTGAAGTTCTCTCCCAAGTTCCAGGCTTGTCATTTATAGTTTAATGTTGGCAAGTGAATTGAAACCTGCGGCCATGCGCAAACTATTATGCCAACCCTGTTATTTTAGGGCTATAGTAGGTTTCCGCACCGTGATTTGATTACTTTTTCTAGTATCAAAGTACAAGAAAAGAATAGGGTAATACAAGGTGTAGGCCCTTAGGGAAAAAAAGTGAAGGTACAAATGAGGGAAACAAGTCTACTGTTTTTTGTGATGCATATTTTCTCTCTTGAGATACCACATATTCATGGTGATTGAAGTTTACTGACATGCATGGAAACATCAGGTGTTGCTGTTGGATGTGGATGGCAACAATTTGTTGCTTACGTGAACGTCGGCTCTTACTACATTGTAGGCGTTCCACTTGGTGTTGTTCTCGGTTTTTTCTTCAATCTTGGTGCAAAGGTGATGGATCTGTCTAAAATTTTCATCTACATTCCATGATGACAAAGTCTTCAGTTCTGTGTTCTAACTTGTGTTGATGGAATCGCATGCCTGCTTGCAGGGTATTTGGGGTGGCTTGATTGGGGGAACAGCCTTGCAGACGGCCATTCTGCTGTGGGTCACCATCAGAACTGACTGGTCCAAAGAGGTATACCTTATTACTTTTTTTTGCGGGATAAGGTATACCTATATACCTTATTACTACAAGCGCAGAAAGTTGAATTTACATTTTCATTCTTTTAAATGAAATTTTAAATGATGAATACTAAATTAACTCCCTGATGTCCGAGGATACAGTCTATCTTTCGCCGTCGCCATAGATGTTGTCATAAATGTAACATAAAGACATGTTGCTTGCTCATCGTCGTTCCTTCCATCACATAATTTATAACCTTCTTGAGGGTGTATGCTTGATGCAAACTTATCAAATATATGTGTTGAAAAAAAATTATACACTAATTAACCCGTAGTGGTTTATTGTGTACATTCTTCAGGTAGAGGAGGCACAGAAAAGGTTGAACAAGTGGGACGAGAAGAAACAGCCTCTCCTTGCAGGGTTCAACGATAATGACAAATAAGTGGACCAGTCTAGATGTGTGTTTCACTTGAACGATGCAGAAGTGTGCTGGCTATGAGACTCACAGTCTTCGTGGGTGTGAGTGGCTGAATTCAGGTCCCTTGATTCTCGTGTAGATTATCAGAGAGTTTCTGTCTCAATTTTTGGTGGACAAGCCAGTGATGGGCTTGTTAGTATATATACGGTAGGCTTGGTTAGCATGTTACATCTTTCTTTTGTCCAATTGTCTTTAAGTTATGTGTTTCTCCTTCTTTCTTGGGAGACCATTATTTGGCGTCTTTGTGATTAGCTTTGGCATGATGCAGAAGCGGGTAATTAAAAGGGTGTGAAGTTTTGGACAGGAGCCCGGAATTTGGAATTTGGAAATCATGTGAAAATGCTATTTTATAGTACTAGACAATTTCTCCGCATTGCTAAGGGTTATAAATATTCTAGTATGTTAGCCCGTGATTTACCCTCCCATGTTACTGTGATTGTGTAAATGAAGTAGGCTTTTGTTTGATAAACACTCATTTGGTAACTTTGTTGACTTATCAGATAAAACACAATTTTATTTTATAAGTCAATAATAGGCATGACAATTGAGGTGGTTTCAGAAAAAATATCGACAGAAAAAGCAGAGACGAAAGGGCAAAAATCAAAACAAAAAGAGGGAGTGAGGAATTTACTAGGTTAGACCAAGGAGAACCGAAGGACACAACTTTACTTTAAAAGAAATAGGAGAGATTTTCAAGTAGAAGTGATATCCTCTCCACATGCACGAGCTTTCTTCATCAACCTTGTTGCACCGTTCATCATGTGAGTAGTCGTCGTTAGACTATGGTCCATAACAGTAGTTATGTGACTGTGTCCATGATACTCCCTCCATTCTATAATATAGTGCGTCCAAGCTTTTCGAGGTTTAACATCGGCCATAAATTTAATCAACGTGACCGACTGCGGCGGGAACAAAAATTATACCATTAAAAAAATTCAATGGTATAATTTTTATTTCCGCCGCAGTCGCCCATGTTGGTTTAATTTATGATCAAAGTTACAACTCGAAAATATGAGCGCACTATATTATGGAATCAACAGAGTAGTAGTTATGTGGCATGTACTCTCTCACGTTCTTCAATGCAAAGATCACGTGAGCCGCGTAACATGATTGTGATCAATTTCATGCATTCTTGGTGTATTTATTACCATGTGATGAGTTGTCTCCACTAGTAGAAAAAGGGTCTAATGTGAAACTCATTAGTCCCGGTTTGCAATTGAACCGGCACTAATGTGACCATTAGTGCCGGTTCCAACGGCCAGGTGGGCGGCGCTCATTAGTACCGGTTCGTGGCGAACCTTTAGTACCGGTTCGTGCCACGAACCGGTATTAAAGAGGTGGTGGCCTTTAGTACGGGTTGGTGGC